TGCTGACACCACTCAACTAAACGCCAGAATTTGACCCCAGCTATTGATAAAAAATTAGCTTCGATTGTGAGTGTCTACAACATGGAGGGCACTCTATCTTCGGAGAGTCGCGTACGCTTCAACGTAATTTCACTCGTGCTGAAATCACTCTAGGTCGTCTCATCTATGAGCAGTCTGTCTGAATGCAAATTGGTCCCAAGTTCCCATTCAATTGCCCCTGTTAAATATCATGGCCCACTAGCAACCAAGCATCGACCACGAGTCTAAAAGTGTTCCAGGAGGGGCTCATCTCTAGGTGAGTGCGCATACAGCTGGCCTATCGAAGCCTAACCCTGCCCACTGTTGACCTTAGCTGACTGTGTTGCATGGTTTCCAGGCCAGGGCTAAATAATACGATAACAAAATGTGGGTGACAACAGTAGTCGATTGGGGACATATTAAGTATTTAAAGTAGTCCCTTTGCACCAAAATAAAACTAACAAAACTGCATTGGTTGTGAAGGTTCGAAGTTTTATTATCCTGAAACCACAGTGGATAGGCCACGGAAGCACCAATGTGAATCGGCAGTTTGCTACACAAATGCCTGCGGCCTGTTGAACAAATGGACAGCTGGGTAATGTGATAGACTCCGGAAATCCGGATGTAATCATCATCACAGAGACATGACTCACACCTGATGTAACTGAAAATGGAGTTAACCTGCCGAACTTAGGAGTGCATAGGCGGGAAGGACTAAGACGCACCTACCTAAGAAACGCTTAACCATGCGAAGCATCAAAGCACTCGCTCGCGGAAGTGAGTTGCGCGAACTTCTACGCTGAAAATTTAAATGCATAGGCCGAGATATTGACATCCGTCAGTGTCTATGTCTTACTACACTGGACCTCACGCTGTCCTTGGAAGACTTTCAGAAACCATGCGTAATGGCTAACACGAGAAACCAGAACCCAAATTGGTGACTCAAGAACTGTTTATTCTTGCATCAGTACAGAGCCAACCATTAGGTTATTGTACACATAGTCTAAGAATAAATGTTATAACATTAAATCACAATAATACTTCTGATAGTTTTCTCTCTTTCAACAAACGGTGAACGACGAGATGATGAATGCCCTGTTCATGACTCCCGCAAAAAATATGGAGTTGGGTTTGAGCAGACAACCATGAATTGATCGTTTAATCTTCAACCACATTGAAAACCTCATTGCTATATACTGCAGTTCCGACTGCGGTGCAGATGACTCCCTGATAGATAAGCTAGGCTCTTGGGCATCGAAATGTCTAAGTCTCGTTCTCGGCGACTTCAACGCCTCATAGTTGACTGGACAAGACTTACAACGCCATCTCCAGACAATTTCTTTCATCATAAACTGTTGGAATCTAGCATTTCGTTGGCCTTAGTTCAACATGCCATTAAGCATACGTGCCACGATTTACAGCAATCCTTTCAACTCCGGCCTCGTGTTCTCACATGGTGAGGGTGTGGACCTCATACATCTTCCTCTTTTAGAGAGGAGTGACCACTCTGTGTCCAGTTTTAAGTTCACAGCAGTAGTATCATGAGCCAAAACTCCAGCTCGGCCAAACATTTGGAAAGCTAATCTAAATGCAATCATCTAAGCAGCTAACTCAGTGGAATGGTACACCAACCCGGTCTCAAGTAGAAACCGCACAGGACTAATTTAAACAACTTTACGCCCATGCGACTGAACCTTTCATCCCTTGGTCTGTCCCGATGGGTCGAAAACATAACCCCCCATGGGTAAATCGAGAGATTCATGAGCTACTCAGACGTAAACACAAATGTTGGAGCCTGTTTGCTACAGATGAGGCTCCTGAGGCCAGGAAATCATGCAACACCGCTGGGAATAAAGTCATTGCAGAAATTCTCCAATCAAGGATAAAGTTCGAAGTACATCCGGCTCAAAATGCAAAGGCACAAACTTAGAAAATGTTCTCGCGAGTGAACTTCAGGAATAAAGCATCCAATGGTGTCCGAAACCTGACTATTGACAGTGATACAATCGAAGAAGATCAAGAAAAAACAGAAGCAATGGCAAACTACTTCTTCCAAGTATTCACTCATGAGTCATCACTCCCCATAGGATCAGCTCTGGCTGCATCAGAGGAATACGGGATAGATTCCGTTGATATCGAACAAGGTATCGTACTCAACTGCTTAATGAAACTAGATGCAGGGAAATTAATGGGCCCTGATAATCTTCATCCAAGGCTTCTCAAGGAGCTATCAGCCCAAATAGCCGGCCCTTTGAGCACGATCTTCAAGCCATCTCTTCTAAATGGAGTGTAACCGCGCGACTGGAAAGACGCCATAGTAACCGCCATCCACAAAGGAATATCAAGATAAGGCCCTTCGAACTACGGGCCTATTAGTCATGCCAGTACTTTAATCAAGACACTGGAAAGAATCATCGAAAAAACATCATGGCATATCTGGAAAACAACAACTTGTGATCCAGAGCACTGCACAGCTTCCGAGGAAACGTCTCATGCTTGTCAAGCCTCTACACTGCAAGAGAAAGCTGGGTCAAATCAAGGCACAACAGAGGATCCGTTGACGTCGTCTTCATACGCTTCAGCAAGACCTTCGATAACGTTCCCCACAAAAGACTACTTATGAAGCCAGAAATTCTTGGAGTTAAAGGCAGCTTACTAAACCGGATTAGGAAATTCCTCGTGGATAGGAGGGAGAGGGTTAGGATCAACTCGAAATCCTCCTCCTGGACATCAGTGCATATCGGAGCGCCAGAGGGCACGGTACTGAGACCCCTCCTATTTATTTGTATACCGATGAGTTATCTCTGCTCATCGATTCCCCTATGGTTCTGTACGCAGGTGACTAAAAAATTTGGAGATAGCTGAGGGGCAACAGCGTTACGCTCACGTTGCAAGAGGACCTCAACAAATTATCAGATTGGTCCAGAGAATGGATGCTCCCTATCAGTGTAGAAAAATGTGAAACCAAGCTCATCGTACACACAAGAATCAGCTCCTGTAACAACAGAAGACAAGGGCCAGGCAACAGATCGTTTTATTATGAAAATCAACACGTATTTATACATATTTCAACTACATTATTATAGACAAGCGCAGTCATCTGATTGGTTGTTTAGGTAGACAAACGCAGGCTTCTGATTGGTTGTTTCGGGATTCCTTGACAAATAGAGTTCTCTATCTGCGAATCATATTTTGCCAGGTTAACTTTGCTGTGTTTGGTTGTTGACTCAGCCTTGTTCATATCTTCTCACGGCCCACATTAGTGACCTAGACCTTAACGTAGATTAGTGCCAACCAATCGGCTAGCAGCCTGCTCTCACCACACTCGTCCCCCGTCAAATACGTGCGACTGAAGTCGGCTTGATCTACTTGGTGCAGGCGTCATCGTTGGCTTGTCTCGCTGTATCCATTTCTGGAGCTCGCTGACGTTCACTCGCCTCTCATTGTTCGCCATTGCGACTGTGTCTGCGTAACCCCATCTCGAAGTGACCATATATGGTCCTTCCCACTTTGGAAACTGTTTGCCTGACCCTGTCGAACATTCGTCCATACTTCGGCCCACACCTTCATATGCTGCTTTCGCCCGACCTCCCAGCAGCGTCTCAAGTAGCAGCTCCATAGCTGACAGATCTTGAACGCCACTCAACTGCGCAGAAGCCTTGAAGTCCTGCCCGAAGATCCATATGTCTCCATCAAAAACTGCAGGGTATAGGCTTTTCATTTGTCGGTAGGCAGCGACACCAAATGTAACAACAGAAGACAAGGGCCAGGCAACAGATCGTTTTATTATGAAAATCAACACGTATTTATACATATTTCAACTACATTATTATAGACAAGCGCAGTCATCTGATTGGTTGTTTAGGTAGACAAACGCAGGCTTCTGATTGGTTGTTTCGGGATTCCTTGACAAATAGAGTTCTCTATCTGCGAATCATATTTTGCCAGGTTAACTTTGCTGTGTTTGGTTGTTGACTCAGCCTTGTTCATATCTTCTCACGGCCCACATTAGTGACCTAGACCTTAACGTAGATTAGTGCCAACCAATCGGCTAGCAGCCTGCTCTCACCACACTCCTACAAACTGGAAGGAATAACACTCCCATCAGCTTAGACTCATTTGGATTTAGGTGCCATAGTTGGTCACGATTTAAAAACTACAGAACACTGTGGCGCGGTGGCTGCACGCAGTTTCAGATCCTTGTGGACAATCCACAGAGCCCTTACTAGAATCGCCAGAGATATGTTCACCTCGTAATATACATCTCTGACTAGGTCAAGACTAGGAAACTATTTCCAGGTTGCCAGTCCTGGTTTTAAGGGGCACCCACATGTTCTATACAGCGTCCGAAGGAAGGAAACACGTATGATTCTCGTCATGACTAACTAATCTTATGAGGAAAGACAAGACAGCTTAAATCTCTCCTCTCTCTCTCATGCCGTAGGCAAAGAGGAGGTTTAATCAAAATGATTAAAATTTTAAGTAATGACTAAGGACCTGACCTGGTCTCTCTTTTGCTTCCCACGAGGTCGGAACACCTCAACAAACGTAGCAGGAGAGTTCGAAAGCCAAGAAGAAATCATGTTGCTGTTGAGTACTGGTTCTCATACCAGGTCATAAACTCTTGGAACCGACTCCCAGAAGAAGTGGAGTCTGCAACCTCGACTGATTCGTTCAAGAAGAGTTTGGACAACCACAGAAATTTACTAGAAAAGGATTAACATAGGCTCCAAGCCTTCTATCCTCAACCAATAAATCAGAATCTGACATTTAATTGGACTAAGAGGCGTTTTCAAACACAGACGCAATAAATCCGTTCCGTTTTCATCCCACCTGGTCATACCTTTCGTTTTTCGGTACGCGTGCTTTTGATTATTTCAGTAAACCACGCTTCATTTTAGTCATTAAGCTAACTACACCATAAATTTCATACGGGAAAAGCAACCTATATTGCTGTAATCTGGTGATACGTTCTTTTTACAATGACTTGCGTGGTTAGTTGTCTTATTCGCATTACATTACCATTCCCAATATGTTTATTTCTTATCATGCTACTTTTAGGCCAAATTTTACGAGGATGTCATTGAGGACGTCATAAGCGGTGTTAAAGATGAATTTGTGGAAGATGGAGGTGACATCCAGATACTTGAGGAACTGAAAAAGGTTTGACACTTAGCTGTTGCTTATTCCTATTTAGCTTTGGAAGTCAAAGCTTGCCGAAACTCATGTCTTCAACCCGGAACCGGCTACAGGAAGTGCGGCACAGTATTTGAACCTTTTGCAGCGTTCACAAGTCCAAGTAAGACACTTTTGGGTTTATACAGTTTCTGATAATATACCCCACCCAAGGTGTTTTGTAAATCGGGCGAGTGAAATTTGTTTGAAACAGTCTTTGCTCGAAGCCCTGTTGGTTCCAACACGTGAATTCACTCTGCAGACTAGCTAACTAGCGAAACTGAACAGGAGTGTATCGTTTCATCTTTACTCACTTCTGAACAGTACACGAAATAGGACAGAAATATGGTGATGGTGCAGTAAACTAAAGTGTGGATGATAGAGAGTTAGTTAACGAATCGCACTGAAGATTTGTAGGATTTATGTGAGCGATTGTGTGAATAAATCTGCACCATTGTTTAACTATCATCAAAAGTCTAAACCATTGACTGCTTGCTTCCAAAAAAAACATCAACTAATCGAACTGAATACCCCCATGTAGCTCAAACTAAAGATTGTATACTTCGCAAATCAGTACTGTGTATTATTCTCATCAGCGTAACTCTTCTATCCTAGTCTCATTTTGTTAGTTGAGAAGAGCAGTGGTAAGACATGTAATATATGTTCCAGCTGCATCGCTCTATAGCAGGTGCACATGCTCAGTAGTTGATATGCCTTCACTACCTAGCGCTGAGTTTATTCTTTATTACTTACCCTGTCACTCCACTAAATGGTCAATTCTACTTAAGACCTATCTGAGAAAACCGGAATGCAAGAATTTCTCTTGTAGAAATAAGAATACCCTAACCCAACCATACAATCCATACTCCCTTGACCATACTCAGGGGTCCGTAGTTATTTTTGCATTTTTACCAAATAAATAGTGCGCACACGTTATGTGTCACAATATGTAACTGGGTAATAAGTTATACCTGTGGAATTGTTGCCGAATTATAGTGGATATGTACTAGACACACTGCCTAATTTTGTGAACGCCACATGGCTTATATCGCTGACAGAAACTGATATATGCAGTAATTAGCTAAATATTCTACATGTCTGATAAATAACCGGAAATTTTAGGTAACAGTTCCTGAATGACATTTCGACAAGACTAGATTTTGCTTCATTATGTTTATGGGCTGAGAAAACGAGACCCTTCATTTCGTCTATAAGCTCACACAATTCAGGTAAAATCAAAGCACCTGGGTTATTATGATTAATTATTTCTTGATCAGGACCTAAATATGCACACTTACGAAGATATGGGTTTAACAGTTTTAATGTCTTGGCAAGTGATGTATGTATTTTTTGATTTTGTAGCATTTTATTTCATATATGTAAATTGTCATTCTTTAACTTAAGATTCATCCAAACGTTAGTTCTGGGACTTCCTCTGCTGGTTTGCCAGTAAAACAGTTGGGTACAGTAGTTCGGACTGGATCAGAGCAGACTGCAGGAGTGGCGCTTCCTGGCTCCCTTGCAAGCCTGCGAATGCCTGCAGCACGTGCTTCATCTGTCTCATTGCCTCAGAAAGTACGACCTCGTGAACCGGTGCAAACTACACAGTGTCTCGCTTCAGTTATACTACCGGCACAGTCGCAGACACAAAAGCAACCTCAGACGACCAACATCCTTCCAGCTGTGCTGAATCCTAATGCAAGTGGCGTCCAGCAGAGACCTGTCACAACTACAACTGTTCAACAAGGTGTGACGCCTCAACTTGCTACGCTCCCTTCAGGCCTTACTGGTAAGTCTTATCTGAATGCTTATATATATATATATATATATATATATATATATATAGTGTGAGATAAGACCAATTACTTGGTATTCTTCTTACATTATTCACAGGACATCTCGTTCAAATTGGTCAACAGACATATCTTGTCCCTCAAAACCTAACAACAGTCCGTCCACCTGGTGTTCATCTGGCTGTTCCTCAGTATATTGGGAATCCAAATATTGCAAATAACAGTGTTGTCGCTTCAGATCTCGGGCAGTTTAAACAAGTGAGATCGGTTTTCATTTTTACTTAAAAACATTAATAGGTAAATAAAAACATTAAATTAAAAAAGTAATTGGAAATATTAGCATTCATAACATTTTTGTTTACCAGACTTATCTCATTTCTCAGCCTTCTAAGGTATTTCGAGCAGCCTAAGGCTTTAGACTCTAGAGTAATCTTCTAGGTGTTTTGGTCCATGGTGTGGGCGCGAGTTCGAATCCCACTCCCGACAAACTCTTGTCACTTTTGTAGCGGTTTATTGGTAGAATTCTAGCCAAGCACGCTAGTGGCACGGGTTCAGCTGCCGGCCGATGCATTCTTAAACCTCGCTTAGCTGGGAATAGTCTAGTAAAGAGGGAAGGTTGGGAGTAAGATTAGAAATCCCACTCCTTAAATACCACCGTTGCTACCGTAATTTCAAAACTGAAGTTTGAGGATGTGGCACCAAATGGATGCACTGTCATCCTATATTCTGACACCTTACCACAAGGACCGTCATCAAACCACAAAAACCTCAAGTGATCTCTGTCACTCTCTGGCACCTTCACCTGTAGGAACATTTCCTCAATATCCGCCGCGACAGCAACTGTAAACTTTCTGAATCTCAATAGCAGTCCCACTAATGAGCTCACGCAATCTGGGCCACTATACAGATTATCATTTAAAGAGACTCCTTCGTGTTTCGCAGAACAATCAAACACCACACGGAGTTTACCTGGCTTCCTCGGGTTAAAGACGGGATGATGGGGCAAATACCACTTCCCTGGCTCACTCTGATCAACTAGTCTTTCAACGTAACCCTTCATTATATGTTTATCGACGACTTCCTTATATTTGGACCAGAGTTCTGCATCTGACAGGAATTTCTTCTGTAAACCCATTAGTCTCTTAAGAGCAACTTTCCTATTACAAACCAACTGTCTATCTTTGAATCTCCATGGTAGGCCAACGCTGAAACGCCCGTTTTCGTATTTACAAGAGTCCTCGGCTATTTTAACTGCTTTTAAGTCTTCTACAGAACGACCCTTCCCTGGGACACCGCAGTCACAAAACTCCTTGTCATACATATTTTTAATCATAGTTTCTAGTTTGTCCCCATCGTTTGTAACTAATGATGATATGTGGACTATGGGTATAGGTCCTCTCACTGTCCATCCCAGTGGTGTTTTCGTCGCAAACAGATCATCTCTACCTCCAAATCTCTCTTCTAATACCTTGTGAGCTTCTGGCACACTACATCCAATGAGTACTCTCACTCTTCCATCTTGCAATGTTGGAAGAGGTATGTCACACAGGTATGGCTTACCGACAACCGTTTCACGACTAGGTACTATAGCTTCGCCAAGTTTCATACTGGAGGTAGTGTAAGCAGTATCCACTTCCACGGTCTCCCCAGTAGCCAAGGATTCTAACTGAAATGACACTCGCTCACATACTACTGTTTTCGCAGAATTGAAAGTATTTACAACCAAGGGTTGCTTTGGGCCTTTAATACCCAAGCAACCAGCCAGTTCAGCATCTATCAATGTAACGTCTGAACCATTATCCAACAATGCATAAGTCTCTACTGAAGATTTCGGTCCTTTCACCTTAACTGGTAATACCCCTAAGAAAACTTGTGGGATGTCAAGGGGTCTAGAGATACTATTACAATTAACCGAACTCCCAGGTTCGTTCACTGTTCTCAGAAGTGGGTGCATATCCGTTAAACCACTACTTCTTTTATTTGTCGCCTTACAATTCCACTTTGTATGCCCAATCTTTAAACAACTGAAACACAGCCGCTTCTGCTTTGCCATTTTTAACCTTTCTACGGGTGACATAGCGATAAAGCGATTACAATCACTCAATTGATGCATGTTATGGCAAACAATACACTCATCCTTTCTCGTTGTGTCTTGAGACTTCACCACAAATGCCTTCCTTATATTCACTGGTTCCTTAGGTTCTACCTTAGAATGCAAAATGCTGGCGAATTTGCCCATCGCCTGGTTGACACTGTCCTTCACCAGTCTAAGAATATCATCAAACCTTGGCTCGATACCCTCCTCCTCTATACGAGAGCTTATTTTTACCCATTTCCTTTGCAGCCGAGTAGGTAGGCGTCTTGCAATTACCTCTAGGACTGAGCTGGAGTTGAGGTCACTCATGCAATTCATAGAAATCAAGGTATTCTTATAAGTCATAAGATTATCTAAAAACTCAGTGAGTGCCTTGGAGTCATCTCGAAGTTGACTGCCATTACCTTTGACAGCTTCGTATACGTTCCTTACAATCATCGAAGGTCTTCCAAACCTTTGACGTAATATGCTCATAGCCTCAGCGTATCCCTCATTAGGGGGCATGAGCTTACAGCACTGTATAGCTCTTGAAGCATCTCCAGTGCAATACCTCATCAAATACATCAATTTCAATTCATCACTTAATAAAAAACTACTCAGCATGATCTCAAACTCCTTTACAAACTGTAAATAATCGGCCGGGTTTCCATCAAAACACCGTGGTTCAAATTTAGGGAGTTTGATGTTCCTATTATCCCTGAACGGCGAAACAGTAACATCAACCATGTCATGCTTAACATCAGACACATCGTTACAATTAACAGACAAGTCACCATGACTTACTTTCCTGTTTGCATCCAAGACACTCTGTCCCTTCTTTGACCCAGGCATTGTTGAACTTGACCCAATTCCAAAAACGTTCCAGATATTGCTTGTTCAAAGAGGACTTGACCGGCACCAGGAAAAATGAACGGCGACTATCCAAACTTTCACCAACTGTTTGAATCCACCAGAATCTGTTTCTATCGTCAGAAACTGTCAGCCACGTCTCATAAACCGTTAATGCCCAGCTCTTGCTACGCTCGGGCCCACGCTGTTCCTTGAAGTTTTCAGAAACGCTTAGTTATAACGGACGCAAAAACCAAAACACCGATCTGCCGCTTGATATTTCTTTATTGTTACACCAACATATAAAAATAATAATTGAACTAAGGTCTGTGAACAAATATTACAATAATAAATCATAATATTACTTCTGGATGTTTTTACTCTTCTTTCTGAACAGCGACCGATGAGACGATGACTGTCGTATTGATGCCTCCGCGAAAATTGGGGAAGTTGATTTTGAGCAAACAACCAAGAATTGATCGTTCAATCTTCAACTCCATTGACAGAAGGACTGTGCATAATATTCTTCTTATTCCAACGAACAGTTGGTGCAAGGAGTTACGGTCTTCAGACATTCACCGTATCAACACGAATTCCACTCGCATTGCATATTCACCTCAATACGTTTCACTTAATCAAAATGAACGTAATCACAGCAGAATATAGACGTTTGTCTCGTTCTGGATACTATTTCTTCTATATGTCATAAACCATTTCACTAATTCACCAAGAAGTTAAAATGCTTACACACTTTATACACTCCTCAGAACGGATATATAACTTATGCCTATAGATTCACTCTTCTCAAAAGCTCGATCTCATGGAAGATTCCCGAAACATTTACCATTGCCACTAATCAATTGAATGCCAGAGAATCACTAACAGCTCACAAATATAAAACCCTTGAGTTCCCCAAATAAAATTTAAAGTCATTCTTCTACATAATTTCCCTTAGTTCATTCCCTCTCTTCTTGATAATTCATGTGGGATATCGAAACACCTATACGCATCAACACGAACATAACGCAAGAATGTATCGCTCTTTTCGGCTACGCAAGCCTAAAACTGTCTAAATACTCCATATTTTCACAAAAGTAGACGCTTATATCGCCTCCATAGACATGAATACATTCGCCCATACTTCGCGTCAAAATACATCGCGACAGCCTTTATCGTCATTCAAAAATGTATGCTGACACCACTCAACTAAACGCCAGAATTTGACCCCAGCTATTGATGAAAAATTAGCTTCGATTGTGAGTGTCTACAACATGGAGGGCACTCTATCTTCGGAGAGTCGCGTACGCTTCAACGTAATTTCACTCGTGCTGAAATCACTCTAGGTCGTCTCATCTATGAGCAGTCTGTCTGAATGCAAATTGGTCCCAAGTTCCCATTCAATTGCCCCTGTTAAATATCATGGCCCACTAGCAACCAAGCATCGACCACGAGTCTAAAAGTGTTCCAGGAGGGGCTCATCTCTAGGTGAGTGCGCATACAGCTGGCCTATCGAAGCCTAACCCTGCCCACTGTTGACCTTAGCTGACTGTGTTGCATGGTTTCCAGGCCAGGGCTAAATAATACGATAACAAAATGTGGGTGACAACAGTAGTCGATTGGGGACATATTAAGTATTTAAAGTAGTCCCTTTGCACCAAAATAAAACTAACAAAACTGCATTGGTTGTGAAGGTTCGAAGTTTTATTATCCTGAAACCACAGTGGATAGGCCACGGAAGCACCAATGTGAATCGGCAGTTTGCTACACAAATGCCTGCGGCCTGTTGAACAAATGGACAGCTGGGTAATGTGATAGACTCCGGAAATCCGGATGTAATCATCATCACAGAGACATGACTCACACCTGATGTAACTGAAAATGGAGTTAACCTGCCGAACTTAGGAGTGCATAGGCGGGAAGGACTAAGACGCACCTACCTAAGAAACGCTTAACCATGCGAAGCATCAAAGCACTCGCTCGCGGAAGTGAGTTGCGCGAACTTCTACGCTGAAAATTTAAATGCATAGGCCGAGATATTGACATCCGTCAGTGTCTATGTCTTACTACACTGGACCTCACGCTGTCCTTGGAAGACTTTCAGAAACCATGCGTAATGGCTAACACGAGAAACCAGAACCCAAATTGGTGACTCAAGAACTGTTTATTCTTGCATCAGTACAGAGCCAACCATTAGGTTATTGTACACATAGTCTAAGAATAAATGTTATAACATTAAATCACAATAATACTTCTGATAGTTTTCTCTCTTTCAACAAACGGTGAACGACGAGATGATGAATGCCCTGTTCATGACTCCCGCAAAAAATATGGAGTTGGGTTTGAGCAGACAACCATGAATTGATCGTTTAATCTTCAACCACATTGAAAACCTCATTGCTATATACTGCAGTTCCGACTGCGGTGCAGATGACTCCCTGATAGATAAGCTAGGCTCTTGGGCATCGAAATGTCTAAGTCTCGTTCTCGGCGACTTCAACGCCTCATAGTTGACTGGACAAGACTTACAACGCCATCTCCAGACAATTTCTTTCATCATAAACTGTTGGAATCTAGCATTTCGTTGGCCTTAGTTCAACATGCCATTAAGCATACGTGCCACGATTTACAGCAATCCTTTCAACTCCGGCCTCGTGTTCTCACATGGTGAGGGTGTGGACCTCATACATCTTCCTCTTTTAGAGAGGAGTGACCACTCTGTGTCCAGTTTTAAGTTCACAGCAGTAATATCATGAGCCAAAACTCCAGCTCGGCCAAACATTTGGAAAGCTAATCTAGATGCAATCATCTAAGCAGCTAACTCAGTGGAATGGTACACCAACCCGGTCTCAAGTAGAAACCGCACAGGACTAATTTAAACAACTTTACGCCCATGCGACTGAACCTTTCATCCCTTGGTCTGTCCCGATGGGTCGAAAACATAACCCCCCATGGGTAAATCGAGAGATTCATGAGCTACTCAGACGTAAACACAAATGTTGGAGCCTGTTTGCTACAGATGAGGCTCCTGAGGCCAGGAAATCATGCAACACCGCTGGGAATAAAGTCATTGCAGAAATTCTCCAATCAAGGATAAAGTTCGAAGTACATCCGGCTCAAAATGCAAAGGCACAAACTTAGAAAATGTTCTCGCGAGTGAACTTCAGGAATAAAGCATCCAATGGTGTCCGAAAACTGACTATTGACAGTGATACAATCGAAGAAGATCAAGAAAAAGCAGAAGCAATGGCAAACTACTTCTTCCAAGTATTCACTCATGAGTCATCACTCCCCATAGGATCAGCTCTGGCTGCATCAGAGGAATACGGGATAGATTCCGTTGATATCGAACAAGGTATCGTACTCAACTGCTTAATGAAACTAGATGCAGGGAAATTAATGGGCCCTGATAATCTTCATCCAAGGCTTCTCAAGGAGCTATCAGCCCAAATAGCCGGCCCTTTGAGCACGATCTTCAAGCCATCTCTTCTAAATGGAGTGTTACCGCGCGACTGGAAAGACGCCATAGTAACCGCCATCCACAAAGGAATATCAAGATAAGGCCCTTCGAACTACGGGCCTATTAGTCATGCCAGTACTTTAATCAAGACACTGGAAAGAATCATCGAAAAAACATCATGGCATATCTGGAAAACAACAACTTGTGATCCAGAGCACTGCACAGCTTCCGAGGAAACGTCTCATGCTTGTCAAGCCTCTACACTGCAAGAGAAAGCTGGTCAAATCAAGGCACAACAGAGGATCCGTTGACATCGTCTTCATACGCTTCAGCAAGACCTTCGATAACGTTCCCCACAAAAGACTACTTATGAAGCCAGAAATTCTTGGAGTTAAAGGCAGCTTACTAAACCGGATTAGGAAATTCCTCGTGGATAGGAGGGAGAGGGTTAGGATCAACTCGAAATCCTCCTCCTGGACATCAGTGCATATCGGAGCGCCAGAGGGCACGGTACTGAGACCCCTCCTATTTATTTGTATACCGATGAGTTATCTCTGCTCATCGATTCCCCTATGGTTCTGTACTCAGGTGACTAAAAAATTTGGAGATAGCTGAGGGGCAACAGCGTTACGCTCACGTTGCAAGAGGACCTCAACAAATTATCAGATTGGTCCAGAGAATGGATGCTCCCTATCAGTGTAGAAAAATGTGAAACCAAGCTCATCGTACACACAAGAATCAGCTCCTACAAACTGGAAGGAATAACACTCCCATCAGCTTAGACTCATTTGGATTTAGGTGCCATAGTTGGTCACGATTTAAAAACTACAGAACACTGTGGCGCGGTGGCTGCACGCAGTTTCAGATCCTTGTGGACAATCCACAGAGCCCTTACTAGAATCGCCAGAGATATGTTCACCTCGTAATATACATCTCTGACTAGGTCAAGACTAGGAAACTATTTCCAGCTTGCCAGTCCTGGTTTTAAGGGGCACCCACATGTTCTATACAGCGTCCGAAGGAAGGAAACACGTATGATTCTCGTCATGACTAACTAATCTTATGAGGAAAGACAAGACAGCTTAAATCTCTCCTCTCTCTCTCATGCCGTAGGCAAAGAGGAGGTTTAATCAAAATGATTAAAATTTTAAGTAATGACTAAGGACCTGACCTGGTCTCTCTTTTGCTTCCCACGACGTCGGAACACCTCAACAAACGTAGCAGGAGAGTTCGAAAGCCAAGAAGAAATCATGTTGCTGTTGAGTACTGGTTCTCATACCAGGTCATAAACTCTTGGAACCGACTCCCAGAAGAAGTGGAGTCTGCAACCTCGACTGATTCGTTCAAGAAGAGTTTGGACAACCACAGAAATTTACTAGAAAAGGATTAACATAGGCTCCAAGCCTTCTATCCTCAACCAATAAATCAGAATCTGACATTTAATTGGACTAGGAGGCGTTTTCAAACACAGACGCAATAAATCCGTTCCGTTTTCATCCCACCTGGTCATACCTTTCGTTTTTCGGTACGCGTGCTTTTGATTATTTCAGTAAACCACGCTTCATTTTAGTCATTAAGCTAACTACACCATAAATTTCATACGGGAAAAGCAACCTATATTGCTGTAATCTGGTGATACGTTCTTTTTACAATGACTTGCGTGGTTAGTTGTCTTATTCGCATTACATTACCATTCCCAATATGTTTATTTCTTATCATGCTACTTTTAGGCCAAATTTTACGAGGATGTCATTGAGGACGTCATAAGCGGTGTTAAAGATGAATTTGTGGAAGATGGAGGTGACATCCAGATACTTGAGGAACTGAAAAAGGTTTGACACTTAGCTGTTGCTTATTCCTATTTAGCTTTGGAAGTCAAAGCTTGCCGAAACTCATGTCTTCAACCCGGAACCGGCTACAGGAAGTGCGGCACAGTATTTGAACCTTTTGCAGCGTTCACAAGTCCAAGTAAGACACTTTTGGGTTTATACAGTTTCTGATAATATACCCCACCCAAGGTGTTTTGTAAATCAGGCGAGTGAAATTTGTTTGAAACAGTCTTTGCTCGAAGCCCTGTTGGTTCCAACACGTGAATTCACTCTGCAGACTAGCTAACTAGCGAAACTGAACAGGAGTGTATCGTTTCATCTTTACTCACTTCTGAACAGTACACGAAATAGGACAGAAATATGGTGATGGTGCAGTAAACTAAAGTGTGGATGATAGAGAGTTAGTTAACGAATCGCACTGAAGATTTGTAGGATTTATGTGAGCGATTGTGTGAATAAATCTGCACCATTGTTTAACTATCATCAAAAGTCTAAACCATTGACTGCTTGCTTCCAAAAAAAACATCAACTAATCGAACTGAATACCCCCATGTAGCTCAAACTAAAGATTGTATACTTCGCAAATCAGTACTGTGTATTATTCTCATCAGCGTAACTCTTCTATCCTAGTCTCATTTTGTTAGTTGAGAAGAGCAGTGGTAAGACATGTAATATATGTTCCAGCTGCAGCGCTCTATAGCAGGTGCACATGCTCAGTAGTTGATATGCCTTCACTACCTAGCGCTGAGTTTATTCTTTATTACTTACCCTGTCACTCCACTAAATGGTCAATTCTACTTAAGACCTATCTGAGAAAACCGGAATGCAAGAATTTCTCTTGTAGAAATAAGAATACCCTAACCCAACCATACAATCCATACTCCCTTGACCATACTCAGGGGTCCGTAGTTATTTTTGCATTTTTACCAAATAAATAGTGCGCACACGTTATGTGTCACAATATGTAACTGGGTAATAAGTTATACCTGTGGAATTGTTGCCGAATTATAGTGGATATGTACTAGACACACTGCCTAATTTTGTGAACGCCACATGGCTTATATCGCTGACAGAAACTGATATATGCAGTAATTAGCTAAATATTCTACATGTCTGATAAATAACCGGAAATTTTAGGTAACAGTTCCTGAATGACATTTCGACAAGACTAGATTTTGCTTCATTATGTTTATGGGCTGAGAAAACGAGACCCTTCATTTCGTCTATAAGCTCACACAATTCAGGTAAAATCAAAGCACCTGGGTTATTATGATTAATTATTTCTTGATCAGGACCTAAATATGCACACTTACGAAGATATGGGTTTAACAGTTTTAATGTCTTGGCAAGTGATGTATGTATTTTTTGATTTTGTAGCATTTTATTTCATATATGTAAATTGTCATTCTTTAACTTAAGATTCATCCAAACGTTAGTTCTGGGACTTCCTCTGCTGGTTTGCCAGTAAAACAGTTGGGTACAGTAGTTCGGACTGGATCAGAGCAGACTGCAGGAGTGGCGCTTCCTGGCTCCCTTGCAAGCCTGCGAATGCCTGCAGCACGTGCTTCATCTGTCTCATTGCCTCAGAAAGTACGACCTCGTGAACCGGTGCAAACTACACAGTGTCTCGCTTCAGTTATACTACCGGCACAGTCGCAGACACAAAAGCAACCTCAGACGACCAACATCCTTCCAGCTGTGCTGAATCCTAATGCAAGTGGCGTCCAGCAGAGACCTGTCACAACTACAACTGTTCAACAAGGTGTGACGCCTCAACTTGCTACGCTCCCTTCAGGCCTTACTGGTAAGTCTTATCTGAATGCTTATATATATATATATATATATATATATATATACAGTGTGAGATAAGACCAATTACTTGGTATTCTTCTTACATTATTCACAGGACATCTCGTTCAAATTGGTCAACAGACATATCTTGTCCCTCAAAACCTAACAACAGTCCGTCCACCTGGTGTTCATCTGGCTGTTCCTCAGTATATTGGGAATCCAAATATTGCAAATAACAGTGTTGTCGCTTCAGATCTCGGGCAGTTTAAACAAGTGAGATCGGTTTTCATTTTTACTTAAAAACATTAATAGGTAAATAAAAACATTAAATTAAAAAAGTAATTGGAAATATTAGCATTCATAACATTTTTGTTTACCAGACTTATCTCATTTCTCAGCCTTCTAAGGTATTTCGAGCAGCCTAAGGCTTTAGACTCTAGAGTAATCTTCTAGGTGTTTTGGTCCATGGTGTGGGCGCGAGTTCGAATCCCACTCCCGACAAACTCTTGTCACTTTTGTAGCGGTTTATTGGTAGAATTCTAGCCAAGCACGCTAGTGGCACGGGTTCAGCTGCCGGCCGATGCATTCTTAAACCTCGCTTAGCTGGGAATAGTCTAGTAAAGAGGGAAGGTTGGGAGTAAGATTAGAAATCCCACTCCTTAAAAACCACCGTTGCTACCGTAATTTCAAAACTGAAGTTTGAGGCCCCATGTTCCATTCGGTACACGAAGGAGCGAAAAAGACAGCTTTGTGTCTTGCATTTGTGAATATAAGTAAAATACCCTTAGAATAATTTATTCTCATTATCAAACAAATAGTTAAAGTGTAATGTTAGTGATAGTGTGCTCATGAAGTCACACTTTCAGCCAACTTACATGCTAGTAAACATTTCTTTTCAGAAACAGTTATCGAGTCACCGTTTTTCACAAGGTGTGCTATGGTGTCTTTTTCACATGCATCAAAAAGTTTAATTATCAATGAAGAAAATACAGATAAGAACTTCGTAGACTCCATTATTGATAAATCACAGTGTTGCACAGTAATATTAACTAATGACGTTTCAAGAACAAATTATTGCTCATAATCATTTGATATCGCATGCATAGCTCTGGTTTCTGTATGTAGATGGCTAAAGATTCAGCAATTCAAAAAAGACGATAGCTGATTATTTTTGGCAAACTCTTCACTTTGTAGATCACTTTGAAGGAATCGGTTTAGATAGAGTGGCTATTATTGACAAGTTGTTCAGCAACGATTCTCTAGTCTATGCTACCTTTCTGCAACCACAAGATATATTGTTCTTAAGCCATTTTGGTCGGTATGCGCTCCTGCTCCACAAGAGCAGGTGAATTGATATATATATATATATATATATATATATATATATATATATATATATATATATATATATATATATATGGAGATGATCAAATGCGAAATTCCGTCTTTCAAGCCTCTGGGACCCAATAAGCATCTGGAGAACACTACTCTTAGCGTTACTGCAAAGAATGTTTTTCTTACAGATATTGAAGTTGTCGTCTTAAGGACATAACAGGTTAGGTTTTTGTAGAGTTTCTTTGTTGACACGAGTTATGTCTTGGGTCTCTGCATCTTCTTTTGATGTTTTTGTCAATAAATCTTGGTGAATATCTATTTTGGATGAAGATTTCTTTCAGAATGTCTGATGCTTACTTTAGAGCGTCAGGGCTGCAGATGAGTCAGGCAGGGTATATATTTAAATGTCGTTTTCGTTTAGTCATCCAGCTGTATAAACTTGTCAGTTGATCACCCATTTGAGTTTCCTATAGACAAGCCTTCTTAATGTTCTATCGTCTTATGTTAGTTTCACATCAAGGAAGAGAATTTTGCATCCGTGTACCATTTCAAGAACGGATTTTATTATTTTATAACAGTTGTTAAATGCGACTGATCGAGGTCGTAATTATGGTCGCAAATGATAAAATGGTCGTCTATGCACCTTGTGTACAGCTGAAAATTATCGATAGTTGATCTTGATGGACCATTGTCGGAGCTTGTTATAAAAATGTCCTCTAATAAGGGACCCAAGGGAAGTCCCATTTCAGTCTCATCCTTTTATCTGTAAATGATGTCACTAAATGTGAATTGTGCGTTGGGGTTACATCTCAGAATTAGTTCCTTCAAATATGTTGTTGTCACTCCGATTTTCAACTGATTTTCGTCTATATATCCACAAATAAAACTGACGGTTCCCGTGAGTAAAATGCTTCTGAAGAGTGATTCGGTGTTGAGAGACATCATATTCTTATTAGAGACGTTCATACCCTATATACAGTCGACGGTTTGAAAAGTTTCTCAAGGTACATGGATGCACATCTGTTTCCTTTTGCTTTCCGGAATACTAGCTAACCATTTTGCTATTGATAGGAAGGTGGGACAAGACATATTTAGGATTGAAAGTTGTGAAAGACTGGCTTTGTATGTCTTTGACAAACCATAAAGCCTCGGTCGAAAGTGTTTGTCAGTATTGTGGCTAACTAGCTGATTAGCCTTCATTCTTTTCAAAACAACGCTAAGCTGTTTTTCTTTCTGTTTTATTTCTTTCACTAGGCGGTTGGGGAAATTTATTGGTATTTGAGAGTATGCTTGTTTTTTCTCTCTGTAGTCTTTTTGGCTCATAAGAACTGTAGTACCACCACTATCAGGACAGATTATTATTAGATCTTTGCTGCTCACCCGATATTCTAAGTGTTCTCGGTGCTGCTTGGTTAGGTGGTTGACTGACTGATTTCTTCTTGGGTTACCTGAAATGAAGGAAGCACTAGTGTTACGTGATCAAAAGCTCAGGGGAAAACTGCTTGAAGTCGGTTATACATGTCCTGTTTACAGTGTTTTTTTTTGAGTTGCATCCTTATTAAGATCTTACCGCCGCAAGGTAAGTTAGGATGTACAATGCTCAGGGTCGACCTCTTCTAATCCCCCTCCTTTCCGGAGAAAAGAGGCAGCATAACTGGCTTACCGGTCGTCGGAGGAAGACACGTTAATGCTGATCGCATCTGACTCACTAAATTATCTGTCTTACTACGTAACTCCTATTCAATTACTCGCATGCGTTGGTTAATATATTAGTAATTATGCTCATGAAGATTTACTCCTTTTATGAAAATGGTGTGTAGATGAAATTGTACAGCTAAAATAGTGATGAAAGCCAAAAAGGCCTCTTCTGTAAATATTTCGTAACTTTGTGCTGACATACTGTCATCTAGATCATCCAATGTCCCTTTTATGTGTCTGTCAATTCTTTATTGAGTGTATTGTGTCCAGAATTGACCACCACAAACGTGTCATTGAATCCCTGCGAAAAAGGTCAATTTACATTTATTTCCCTCCTGTAACAACATTTTCCAAATTTCAGTTCTGTTTTTTCACCACTGTATTAGGATTGCTATTAAAATATCTAGAGGGGTATGCATTTTCTACATTTAGATAGCTAAGCATTTGAATTGGATATATGTATTATGTATGTCCAAGCCAAGTTCACTTTTAACAGTTTGAAAAAATTTGGGCATTGGGTATATAATATTCATTATGATAAAGGTTTTTGCATTTCCGAATGAATGAAAAACAAAACGATATTGTTTTTACTGACGTTTCGCTATTTAATGTTGCTAATAGCTTTATCAAAGTATTATTAAACCGGAATTTACAAAATCTCAGCATATATATAACAAAGAGTTAAGGGGTGAGAAAATAGACTTAGGTCAAGTTAAAGAGACATATTGAAAGTCAAAATAACAATAAAGATCACTAAACCAAATATCAAAGGTAATAGTACATCTGTTATTGTATCAAAACAAAGTTTACTAACTTGATCATCGTTCGTTAGTGTGGGGTCATTTTTGGTTGTCAAGTTGGTCAATTAGTAAAGATAACAAAACTAAGTGTAGATTGTTGGATTTTATCAGTGTGTAAAATTATAAAAGTAGTGTGTGTGTTTACATAGTGAATTTGCCTATCACATTTGTGTTGATTTTGTTACTTCATGGGGGAGGGGGGTGTTGTAGCCAGGTCAGATTCTGTTTTAGTCCATCATTCCTATTCAGGCAATTTGGATTCCACTTGATATGAAGTGCCTCTGATATTAGACGTTCTTTGTGATTTCTGAAGTTTTTCTGGATTATATCAATATTGTCAAAATCAATTTTGTGGCCTGATTCTGTAATAATACTATTAGCAGCATTGAATAACGAAACGTCAGTAAAAACAATATCGTTTTGTTTTTCATTCATTGGGAAATACAAAAACCTTTATTCTAATGGATATATGTATGTTTATTTACTTTAATTTGTATCCTACGACGTATGCAAACGTTATCCATAGTAACGCAAATAATCCTGTACCACAAGCATTTACACCTATTAATTCACTTCTCCAAATAATTTTGAGTATTAGCTGACGAGTTATTATTATTATTATTATTGTGCAACTTAATTACCCTCTTCAGGTGTTTATTATGTTCTTAGTCATAAGCTGAAATTAATATGTATGTGAAGTAACTAGAGGAAAATTTAGAGCTTCTACAACCTTATAGTTCACTTAGTTAAGATTAAAGATTTACCAAGCTTACTATTATCTTAGAAGCATTAACGTACATTATAGATGCACACATATTTGCTGTGTAAAATATTCACTTTTTCTACAATTCCACGACTGGGTTTTTATTAATTGTAACATTTGAAAAGTAATTCTTCATGCGTCATCTAGTTTCTAACCTTTTTTCGTTATTATTACTGACATAGGTTGATGGTGTTAATGACAGTGATGACGAAAAGTTTTGTGACACACCAGTGTCACAGTCAATCAGCATATCAGCACGTCGAAAAAATCAAGGCACTGGTCGACATAACTATGATGATAGTGTCTCATCTCATGTACACCATAGTTCAGATTTAGAAGATGATGATGACGATGATGATGATTTAGTTCCTGCTACTCCTGGCTTCACTCCACATTCTTCTGTTTTATCTCACTATAATACTGGTCGTTATGCAGTGGATACTCCAAGAGATGTGGGTGATGGCACACCACTTGTCAGTGCTCCACCTACTCCTATGTCTCCTCCTGCATCAGGTCCTTTACGTCAATCAGGTGTTGGACAACGGCCTTTAGCCACAGGTTCGCTTACCACTGGACAATCACCGGCGTCCAAACGTCGACGGATGTCACCATATCATATTAAGAGTACAGAGGCTGATGAATTTGAAGGTGGTGATGATGATGTTGGAGAAGATGCTGAGATAATGACTACGACAACAGCAACACCAGCCGATCCCAAGTGAGTATTTTTTGTATTCTCAACTGCTCCTTCTTCATACATAAGTCGTCTAGCCCATGCTTTGAGTGCTTCTTTTACGTGAGAACTAGTTCACATTATTTTAAGACAACATTTGATGATTCACTACTAAGTAGATGTAAAAATCATTTCAGCCAAAGAATATAGGAGAGGATAGCTTTACACTACGCAAAATGATATTATTATTATTGTTCCCTTGGGTTCCTAGTGGAACATAGGGAAAAATGATAGCAACACAGTAATTACCAAATCTGACAAGCTTATCTCAATGGTGTCTATGACCCAAAATAGATTAGTTAAAGAAAGCCAGTGAATATATTCAAACATTACCGTATAAGAAAATTAAAAGGAGAACTTGTAGATAAACTTATAAGATAAAGGAATCCATATCCTATCTTGTTCTTGGGAAGAAACCATCTTTGGGTTGTTCGCAGTAATTTAATTTAATCCTTAAAGCCAATAATCGCGCTAAAATGTATGCTGGCAGACTTTAAGAATATACCTGTATATGCATTTTCCAAATATGCAGCAAGAATTGTATACCCACTAAGAAAGAGCTTGGTGGTTTAGGTCAAATGATTTCTTCAAATTGAAACAAAGGCTAATATACTACTCTCCACTTAGTGGGGGAAGGGAAATAATTTATTTTGACACAACGACTGACTTCGTGAAATATTTAAGCAAATGAGGCAGGAGTCTTTGTTTAGTAGTCCAAGAAACTTCATTAAAGAATTCAAACATTAAAAAACCGCTAATGCTGTGTAATTACTTTCTCCAATTTTTTACAAAGGTCATTAATACCTGACAAAAAAGATGACGAGTAACATAAGTGATACTGGCACCATTATTGCAAAAGGTTTGGAATGAAAGAAAGGTTGTCTACTGATTTAAACAATGGCTAGCTACCTTGTCAAGCTACCAAAGAAGAGCGACTTAGACCTCTCCAAGAACTGGTGTGGAATAATGCCCTCGTCCACGCCGATTGAACTACTAAGTTGCGTCATCCTGGAGTGACTAAAAGATGCACTGGATACAGGATTCCGCCGGGCTGAAACAATCTGGATTCAGGAAAGGCAAATAATGTCCTGATCAAATTGCAGCTCTACACGTCGTCATTGAACAATGCTTAGAATGGTAGTCAAACCTCTACATCAACTTCATCGGTTTTGGAAGGGCCTTAGACAGGAAGCGTCGACAGAGAAGTAATTTGGAAACTTCTTCAACACTGTGGAGTTCAGTGCTCCAAAACCTTTATCAACCTCATTCAACAGCTATACGACAATTCCATGTCAGTTGATCTACAACGAAAAACTCAGCTAAGCTGTCGAAGTGACTACGGGAATAAGACAAGGCATCCCGCCTATTATCACCAATAATATTCCTGATTGTGGTGGACTAAATTATGCGTCAGACTGGATAGCGAGAAGACAGCAGTACACCGATAATAGGACTCGAAAAGATCTGGATTTCGCGCGTGGATGATTTCTGCTTAACGTCGCATAAACTCGAAGACTTGCAGGCGAAAACCAACAAGCTATCAAAAGAGGCAGATAGCGAAGACAAGACATTCCAGGATGTATATATTATTATTGTTCCCTTGGGCTCCGAGTGGAACATAAGGATTCAACAACATACCTCCACTTTGTTCTATTTCCCCTACCGTCCTCTTCAGCTGGGTCCACATTTGACCATAATCTCCCATCTCCTCCATGTCACCCTCGCACCGACGACCCACTCATCGCTTCTCATTTGGATTGCACTCAAGGGCCTAGCGTGCGATGTCATTCGGTGGCCTGTTCAATGTAAGTCCGATCCATTTCCTCCTACATAGAGTTTCTTGCTGCTAATTCTTTCTTACCGGCCATTTGATCTTCAGTATAGAACCAATGAAGGCAGCTGTTAATAAAATTTTTTATACATAAATCTATTAAAATTAGAGTAAAGCATGAAGAAGACCTAATTGAAAACCGTGTATTGTTCGCTTATGTGTCTTGTTCTAATAAATTCTATGAATTCAAATCCTTCTATCATTCGGCTAATCTTTTATTCACTGTTTTCTTAATAACCTTTCTTATGCATATTGATTGATTGATAATCATATAAAATAATGTTTTTGTTGTGTTCACTAACCAATGGTAGTGAACTTGGAACAGAAAACTATATAAGTACTCCTGATCCTAAAAACAAATTAAACAATTTGAAACAAAAGCCTAAACAGCGTCAACAGTTAGACAGGAACTCAGTCAGCCCGAAGAATAATCGTACTGCTAAACAATTTGCTTCACCGTCTGAATCTGAACTTGGTGTGTCTGATCAAATTGAATTCCTTGAAGGAGATTCACTTAAAGCGGAACAAGAAGGAGAAGAAGAAGATGATGAAGAAGAAGAACCTTTAAATTCTGGGGATGATGTAAGCGATGAAGAACCTGAAGTGCTATTCGAATCGGACAATGTGGTAGTTTGTCAATACGATAAGGCAAGTTTTTGAAAGATAGTTTTTATCTACATGCTTGTTTTATTCCGCGTATTGTAATCGTTTTCATTCAATCAAACTTAAGACACCAAAGTATCAGTATTTATTATCATTCAGTTCCTTGTGCGTTTTGATTAAACAAGACAATAAGAATAAATTGTAAAATGCTGATTGTAATATTACTACTAAGCATGTGATTGCATGTGAATTTGGTTACTTCATAAACGCAGTTCCCTTTGTGAGTTTTGACAAGGTCAAATACTGGTCAAATTTGTAGAATTCAATTAACGAACTAGAAATATAATTGGGCCATGTACGTTCTTTGCTTCAAAGGATATAGAAAATCAAAACAAGTGATCATTCATCGAAGAGACTCTTTTCAACGAATTTATCATCAAGCTGTACAATCGTATATATATATATATATATATATATATATATGGTTTTTAAGAAGTTATATCCGGTGAGGGAATTGAATCATAGGTGTGAAAATAATAATAAGTCATCTACAAGGCAAAGAGTAATTTACCAAAATCCCTACGTACATGACTCATCTGTATTGCTGAAGCTTTGGCTATCGAAACACAAAAGCCAGATCTCTGTGTACAGAAAAATTTCGTTCATCGGCTCCAACTTTCATGGTCTTAATCCCTCTATGCTTAAGTATTATAATCCCTAATCATATTTTGGCTCTACCAATTTTTTAATTTTTTTCATTTTGTCTATTCAATTTGTATTTTCTTTCTTTATTACGTCAATTGTTACTATTACCACTCTCACGTTGAACAGTCCCCGGTATTATTTCACTTGTTCCACTTGTCATCCTAAATAAATTCTTTCTAACGACGTTGAATTCTATGCTATTAAATTTCACACAATATTACGTAACGTTTTTATTTTATTCGATTTGTCTACTGATCCTATAATTGCACATCCTTTTTCAAGTTCTATCCATCCTATGAATTATTCTATATATGACATTAATTTGCTTTGCCACTTGACATTTAACAACGATTATAATCAAAAACATTTTAGTTTTAATTGCATTTCATACTATTATTATTTTATGCATTCACACCTATGATTCAATTCCCTCACCGGATATAACTTCTTAAAAACCATATATATATATATATATATATATATATATATATATATATATATATATATACGATTGTACAGCTTGATGATAAATTCGTTGAAAAGAGTCTCTTCGATAAATGGATCACTTGTTTTGATTTTCTATATGTTACAATGGGAATTTTCCATGAGTTAAAAGGATATAGAAAAAATCCCCACTTAGACATTTAGAAAACAGAAAGATTGAGTGAATAAGTATTTACTTTTCAATTAGATCCTCATCTCTGGCTCTACTCTAATATATACATAGCATTTTTATTACAGTACACAACAATTTACCAATCAAGTGGCACTGATATGTTTGTTAACAATAATTAGTCAGTGTCAAAATGTTAATGGGGTGATAAATAAAGAAGAAAATTAATATATATAATTAAAAGGTGGAAATAGTTACAAGTGTATTGCAAAATGCATAATTTTGGAAAAATGAAGAGCAATTAAGGAATAAGCATGTGCACAGGTTGATTACGTAACAGATTGTTAAAGGAAATGAAACGATTTGGACAATGATAACTTCTAACTAAGGTCGAAGTGGTCATAAGACTAAAATAATTTTACAAGGATAACACGTAATTAAAGATGAAGTAGTCAGAAAAATAAAATAATTTGGGCAATTATAACTTTTATAATTTTTAAAAAGTTTAGGGGGAGGGGGTGAAGTAGTCCGGTAAGGAAAGTGGCTGTACGTGGAAGACCGACTCGTAAAGCAAAATTAAGATTAGTAGGAATGCGATAAATAATTTTAAATACAATATTAACGTCAACCTTATGCTCACTATCTCACAAGGTGTGCTGAAATAAAGCTACGAATAGATCTTGTTTGTTCCTTGCTTAACCACGCTGGATGATATTCGGAACCTTCCTAATTGTACCCCGGATGTAGCTGGCTCCGCAGCTGCAGTCACAATGGTAGATACATATAGAGGAGGCAAATTTAGGTAGTTTATCCTTATTTCTCGAATGTCGAATAGGGATATGTTGTAAAACCATCTTGTGGAATCGATATGTGTGGATACAACGGACATTTGACATCAGAATAAATCAAGTACGTGTACGATGAAATTGAAACCTTGTAGAAGAATATTAATAAAATGAGTATTTCTAGGTGTGTATGTGTAAAGAAGTGCATACAACACAACAATTAAGGCGTAGAAAAGAGGAACACTAAAATTGATTAGAAAATTGATCAATAATTTCATTATGGGTAAATTTTGTTTTGATAAAGTCTCACAGTGTTATACAGTAATGTTTACTGATGACGTTTCGAGCACAATTTATTGCTCATAATCATATCAAGGTGATATGATTATCAAAACAAAATTTACCCATAATGGAATTGCACTCTACCACAGTGCACAAGTTTTATTCTTATATGATCAATAATTTGTCGGAGCTATAACAGTGTTCAATTAAGCACAAATGCAAAAGGCTTGTTGAACACGTACCAACTTTTATCATATTTGATGAAGGCTTATGACTGAAAAGGTAAGCTATACATGATTCATGCTTTCATTTATAGATAGATTGCTTTGACTGTTTTGGTTAGGTGAAGCAACAGGACAAGTAATAATATGGGTTAGGCGCTGAGGGTTAGGTAAGTAGAGGTAGGTGGTTAATAAATTAGTTTATGAAGATACATCTTTTGAGACGGCCACAAACTGTGTTATACATGTCAAAAACACCAGCTTTTTGACGAACAGTATTCACTGAAGAGGGATTACAGTGCGAAAGAGTTAGAGGTAGTTGTACCAAAACACTGGTGCATGAAGTTATATTGGTCGTTGATGGGTGTTTATTGTCTGGTCAGGGGTTTTGAAACTTTAACAACCAGTAGTACTAATATATTCACTCCATGTCGTCTTCTAGGTTCCACGTTTCCTCACTTATTTTATTCTCCTTTGCCTATGTTCCGTCGATTGGTAGGGTTTTGAAACCCTCATCAATCGTAAAATGTTTCTCAAGAAACTTGACATGAAAGTGTTTATAGATCTTTACGAACTCCACCAACGTGGCAATACGGATTATTAGCTAATTCAGTATTGACTTGTGGTTTATGGATTGATGTGTATTTTTTAGTTGTAGTTTTATCTGGACAAGGCGATTTGTGCATCTAAGCAAGAAGTCCTTTGTAAAAATGTATTATCCACACTCACAAACTTCATCTACGAAATTCGGTCTCTGTGATAAACTAACTGTGTTACAGCTTACTAAAGATCTCTCTCCTTCATAGTGATGTTAATAACTAGACGAACAGTAGTCTGTTTTGCTGAATGATCGATGATTGTAGACATATAGTTAAAATCTTTCAGAGGGAGGTGGAAATCACTTGCATTACAAGTGGAAATATGTTCTAGACGTGTATTTATCAAATTAAGTATATGACACATAGTAATTGTGTTTTAATACACGTTACCATATTAACAGTGTAAGTAATCGCCTTCCTGTCGCTTAATATCTTGATTTAATAAAGAATATGGTAATGCATGAACTCATCATTCATGTTGTTCAATGTAACATAGAATACAATGAACATTTTTTGGTATTTCATGTTAGACAAGCAATCCTGTAATTATCTTTTGTAACTATTGGTGCTCACTAGCAAGAAGTGTATGTACAACTTTGAGGGGACTGCTAAGATCAAAACTGTTATCATGCAGTCCAAATTTTAAAGATTTTCCTACTAAGAAAGTTAGGTTGTTACTTCACATTATCAGCTGAACTTTTTTTTATTCCTTCACGTTTCCAGTGGAACATAGAGCTTCAAGCTAGAGGCTTGAAGTTTCAGTAGCAGAGGTGTTTATTCATTTTTACGGGATGGAGTTGCTAGCCTCATTCCCAACCTCTCCTCTGTACCAGTCTTATTACTGGCTTAACGAGGTAAAGGAGTGCCTCGTCGGCCGGGGATCGAACCCTGGACCATGTGCATGATCAGCGACCGTCCTAGCCACTGTGCCACCCATACACTGATAATCAATTCATATATCTGTATTTATTTATTTTCAATTTATTAGGGATTCAAGTAGGTAATATACCCTTTATTGTGCATAAGTTATGTTGAACTACATTCTGGACATACGATTTATTCAAGCGAGGTCATTTTTTTGGCGGGGGGGGGAACTAGTAGCGCTTGTAGTTTATAAGTAATCCTATATCCTCTGCTAACAGCTTCACACAAAATCCTGAGAGGAGGAAAATAATAATAATGATAACCAATTGTAATTAATCTAAAATGCTCTTCAGTTTCTTAAAGATACACATCTTTTCTACCTTTTAAATGCTAAATAGATTCATCGTGCACGAAATAAATGGCGATTTCATCTTAAAGATGGAATAATGTCAATCAATGGTAGAGATCATGTTTTTCAAAAGGCTGTCGGTGAAGCTGAATGGTGATTCGAAGATGAGAAGGAAACAAACAAACAAACAGTCTGTTAGTCTGGTCTGATCTATCTATCTATCTAATATATTGTGACATCATATAATGGCTCTATTCATAAGTTCATTTATACAATAATTAAAACTTTTTTTTTTGTAATAGTTAAGATAACACCTTTTTTTCTTCTTATTTGTTGTGTATAAAGAAAAGACAAAATAATTTTCTACCAGTTCTCCTATGATTTTTCAATGAGAAATACACCCTACTCTTTATATATATTACGGGGTTCTTTCTTGTGTTGAATAGAGAAATAAGAGTGGAGGAAATAAACTCATCAAAACCAACAAGACTACATCCAACATACAATCACAATCGGACAGAAGATTACACATGTATCATGCAGTTATTTTGTTGAAAGAAACATTCGTCTTCACTACCATGTTTTTTTTTCATGTTCACACTCTTGCCGTATGCCTTCGTCTCCATTATATATATATATATATATATATATATATATATATATATATATATATATATATATATATATATATACCAGTGCATAACCTATTTCATTTCATCATTACATGAGCAAAGTATACACAAATCTTGCGATTACTGTCTTTCTGTGTGTGTGTGTGTGAGTTGGGTTATTATTTTTGTTTTTGCTGCTGTTTTTGTTGTTGTTGTTGTTGAATGGGTGTATCTCATTCTTAGGGTTATATTTACGTATTTTATTGCATAAAAAAATGAAATGAAATAATAACTCTTCACTGTGTATTATCTTGGTTTGTTCTAACATGTATACATTGGGTGACCTAGTTTAGGTGTTTTAATACACACACACACACAATCAATAAACTTAGTTGGGATCGTATTTGTCACTTGTACAGTTCAAAGTGAGAATTCACCACTTGAATTCGGTTGCTTTGGATTTCTCACTCCTATGACTATAGTCTAGCTAAGTAATCAACGCTAATGAGCTTTTTCGTAAATGATCCAAATTGTCATCTGGTTGTGTAGTTTGCCTCGACATTGATTGCTTGATTGCTTTCCCAGTACTTATGTCTGTCATAAGTAGTAGTACAGTAGAAGGCGAGACACGGAAGCCAAAGTGTGGTGACAACTGTCTAATAGCCAAAATTTGTAGACAGCAATTCCCGAGTTTAGGTCACGAGATAGAACAATAACAAAACCTAGCCTTGACGAACTCAACAACCAATCGCAGGAGACTTGGCGTGGGCGAATACGATTCACAGATATATCACCGGACTGACTGTCTAAGAAACGGCAACAAAGAGACGACAGATTAACCTTCAGCAGGAAAACAACCAATCAGAAGACGATGTTTCCGTGCTAACAATAACGAATAATAATGTACATAAATATCTGTTGATTTTCTCAATAAACGATCTGTTGCCTGTCCCTTGTCTTCTGTCGTTACAAAAGTATATGTATTTTTCATTGATCAAACCACTGTTTATATATGTACAGTTTATATTCTTTAACCAGTCACCAAGCGTGTGATTCCAGTTTACATCAAAGTACATGAAATAGAATGCTCACATATACATGTTATTCTGCTTTCAATGCAGTATTAGTAATAATAATAATTTGCCTTATTCCAAAACAGTACTTGTGATACAGAATGGAATTCTCAGCACATCACCACAGCATTGCATCCAGTTAGTACATTATCAATAAATAAAATTCTACATAGATTAAGGGTAATCTCAGTTCATTATGACAACAACATATTGGCATGTCGGTAGCAAAGCCAAAATTGAACAGAGTGTTTGAGGTGTTAGAAAAGTAGATACGAGCATATTTACTGGCGTAAGTGGTAACAAAAGGTCGAGATATACAGAGTGTGAGGGAATGAAGAAGAATGTTTAAAATAGAGTTTGTAAGGAAGAAAGAAACGAAGCAGCACATAACAAAAAAGAGAAAAGAAAGAAAGAAGACGTATCTATAAATGATGTGAGTTGGATCAACGAGATCCAGTTGTTCTACTGATTATTTAATAAGTTATAGGTATCACGCCTAATGCTTTCTTTATCGCACAGAACACGAGCCAAGTAGGGTGTGGTTGAGTCTTTGTACTTGCTAGTGCAAGCATATAGTTTTCTGTATAGGCTTCTGGTTCTGCCTGATGAGATACAAGGGGAGAGTTGTGAATGAAGAGGATGGTGTGAGTTAGATAGATATAATGGATTTAGCCCATTTTTCACATGAGTCCAAGTGGCTGTCAACCAGAATATTAACAAGCTGGTTAAGTGGCAAGTTGCTTACCCTGCTGACAACCTTTAACATCCTGCGTAATAAGGCATAGTCTTTCTTCAGTAGCCCTGGAAAAACTAAGGGGTAACAATAGAGATTAATAGGTAGAATGCGAGAGTTAACGTATTGTAGGAGTAAGGGTTGGGTTATACCACAATGTCTTAACTTCTTGATGTAGAAGGTAAGACAGAATATTTTCTTCGAAATCATCAAGATATGAGACGACCAGGAAAGATCATCAGATAGAATGACGCCAAGATATTTAATTTCCAACTTGGTCTCTATTTCAGTGCCATCCATCTATGTTGCGCACCTCGTGAGTGCTAACCAGTTTGTTTAGGTCAGATTTATGCCTGAAGGTGAAATTGACTGCTTGTCATTTGGAGGAGTTTAAGGTAAGACCGTCTTCCTTGAACCGCAGGCTGATTTCTCAGATAAAAAGCCATTCAGTTTGGAGCAGTCACTTTGACATTTGACAGGCAAAGATACAGTCAGATCGTCAGCATATTTGACAACATTAATGTCATTTGAAGATGGTAAGTCATGTAGAAAGAAAGAAAGAAAAGAGAAGTGGGGAGAGTACAGCACCTTGGTGGACAGCAGCTTCAGTGAGTACAGCAGAGGAGGATTTACCTTTGTATATAGTGTACTGCATTTTGTCTCTAACATCAAACAGAATGTTCAAATAGGTAGATTGCTTTCTGTTGCTAGTGCCGTATTGAACTGAGCGAATGTGAACTTTGGTTCATTGGCCTTGGTAGCCATTGGTGGGCAACTGGTAGGGGCGCGAATAATTCAATTGTGTACAAGTTGGAAGAAGACGAAAGAATACGAATACAAATTTGTAATGATATCGAATTTAACTGCCTAAGAATATATATGATTTCTTATTAGACCTTGTGTTTTAGAGTTGAAGTCGATAGTCGTTCCTAGTAATTATCGATTCGGAGTGTCTTTGCAAATAATAGGAACTTAGGGGTAGGTTCCTTGACAAGGAATAGGTGAGAATAGTATTTCGTTGACACACACACACACACATGTTGTCTGTATCACACCACCACAGTAGTATATCTATCTATCATAGAACTGAGCAAAACTTGCAAATTATTTGTATAAAGTATCCACTTAGAACTGTCACATTTATAGATTTTACTTGGATATCAAGTTAGTGTGATGAAAGAGAATATATTTTATTGAAATATATATATATATATATCATCTGTTCTGACTACTTATATAATTCTTAGTATGTCTTGATTTGACACTAGTAGCGAGTGTGATGTGTCTAGTCCTCTCTTTGGGGCAGACTGAATTCCCTCAGTCAGGTTGTAATATGGCCACCATTCTAGGTAGCTCGCCATCACGGTGCACATTGATTTGATGATATTAGATGGCTGGAGGTAATCGGAGGACTAGAGAGAGAGAGAGAGAGAGGACTAGACGCATCACACTAGTTACTAGTGTCAAATCAAATCCTACAGGAGGTCAATCGCGAGCCCAAATAGCTCAGCGGTAACGTCTCTGACTGCAGCGCTGAGTCACGCGGGTTCGAATCTCAGAGGAGTGGGGCATGAGTTCCTTCAAGGCTGGAGATACGCCTTTCTGACTGACTGGTGGTGAGTGCCAACTAGCACGAAACCTAGGTGAAGTAAGGCTTCCTGTCGATTACCTCCAACCATCTAATATCATCAAATCCTAGTATGTCTGTAGAGCATATAAGTGTAGTGAAAAGTAAATCAAATATAATGCCTAGATATTTCCTCTGTATACGATAAAATAGTTTGCAACATAAAGAGAATATTCTTACTTATTTCAAAGTAACTGTTTCATAAAAACAAATAATCCAGTATACCATACCTGCGTCGGTGGCACAGTGGTTAGGACTCTCGCCAACCACGCATATGGTCCGGGGTTCGAGGACCCGCCGACGTACACCTGATATCTATGGTCGGCCTGCGAAATTTGGGCTACCGATATCCATGCTGAAAATTCCATACTTGTACCAAAAATACAGTGTGGAATCAAGCTGTAAAACAAAAATCAAAAAAAAAACATAATGCATGTTCGATGAATAAGTCACAATGTTAAATAAGCAGTGTGTGTTAACTTTTTTGGTAATCTGTGATTTAATTAGTTAGTTTTGAGCTGCAGTTGTAGTAGAGTCTTTCTAATTATATGCAAAACCACATTATGTATATTGAAGAGTTTTTCATTATTCATGTAAAATATTTAAAAGACGTGTATTAAATGTTATTACGATCATTGCCTTAAATAAGCATGGACTCCAGTTTAGAATAACAGTCAGTGAGAACAAAAGTTACCGATTTTTTAGGTTTAAGTAATTATTAAGAGTACACTAAGACGATCAATAAGGTATATATATATGTATGTGAGTCGGAAGTTACATTGGTACATTAGTTGTATCAAGATATTACATATGAGTAAAATCTGTCTGTCTGTTTTCGACATAGAACTTTGCACAAATATGCAGAAGTTCAAGTCGCCACACTCCGTGTAGCACGCGAAGCAAGAGAAGAAAGTACAAGAAAAGCATAATAGAAACAGTGAGCAGAGGTGTGAGACAAAGGAGTAATAAAGAAAAACAAAACAGTTTCATTGGAGATCATAAGTCACAAGGAGTGGATGCATCTGCGCTAGCCATTGAGAACGATCACTTTGAGCCATGTCACCAATTGTTTCCAACCATAGATTTTTACCGTCCCGAGGACCCCAGCCTGGAAGTCTACACCTTCCTACGTGGCTTAGACCAACTGTTGTGGATTTCATTGACTGGTGCCAAGTTTTTGTTTGACCGCCGCTAGCTTTTTTCCAGCCTGACCCTATATCCGCTAACATTGCTCGTCGAGGGAGGCGATGGCTTGGCATACGTAACACATGTCCTAACCATCTCAGTCTTTGTAACTTCACGACTTCGTCGATTGATTGTAAGTTTGAGTAAAATATGCAGGTATTTGCCTGAGTTTTTTTCGTTCTAATATTTTGGATGATTATTTCTAAACATTGTTGAAGGAATCACAAAAAAAATAAATAAATCGTAGAATGTTCACTTTATTGAGTTTTACTTTTGTGGAGTTGCATGAATATCTGAGCACAAAGATTCCGATTATGCACTGTTCACTATCTTCGATATGCGAACATATAGAACACTATGCTTATAAATTGACTTAATAACGCATCCAGGGTGGTTTTTTTTTATATTCAGTGTGCCACT